GCCTCCGCGGGACCCTCCCCATCGCCGGGGCGGGGCCCGGGAAGGCCAGCCCCGGGGCGGGGCCTCGGCCTCTGCGCCGTGGCGCGGGGTCCCTGCTCTTGCTCCCCAACTAGCCCTCCATGCGGGGCCCGGGGCGCGGTGTCCTGCGCTCGCAGGTCCGGGCTCACGACTCGCTCCGCTGCAGAAGTGCCTGCGTCTGGACCCAACCGCGCCCGTGTGGGCCGCCAAGCAGCGTGTGCTCTGCGCCCTCAACCACAGCCTTCAGGACGCGCTCAACTACGGGCTATTCCAGCCGCCCTCCCGGGGTCGCGCCGGCAAGTTCCTGGATGAAGAGCGGCTCTTACAGGACTACCCGCCTAACCTGGACACGCCCCTGCCCTATCTGGAGGTGCTGGGCAGACCAGGGTGGGGGTGGCATGGAGCGCACTGGGTGTGATCTTTGAGCTCCGTGGCTGGAGCAGTGAAGGGCAGGCCGGGAGGAGTTGGCTACAGGAGCGGTGGGGGGCTGTGTGCAGCCTTTGAGCAGTGTGCTGAGAGCCAGAGGTGGGTACATTTGAGTGCAGCGGGTAGGGCGAAGTGTGAGCTGCATGTGTGGTAAGTGGTGTGTTGCAGCTTAGGCGTGGAGAACAGTGTGAGCAGTGTGTAAGAGTGCTTGCAGCAAGCGATGCGTACAAGCACACAATGAGCACCTGCAGCACATGCACTCAGCATGTGTGGTGTGAGTGAGCAGTTTGAACACTGGAGGGAGAAGTGTGAGAAGGAGTGAGTGCCGAAAGGGTCATGCAGTGTGAACAGTGTTAATCTTGTGTGCACGTTTGTCTCTTGCCCAAGTCTTCTGAGGTTGGCCCAAAAGATTAGCACCATTTATGACATATAAGGGTGATTTGAGTGCCATTCCAGGTATAGGGGTGGAGATTGGGTCCTAATTGGAAGGTCTTCTGTGTGTGTGTGTGTGTGTGTGTGTGTGTGTGTGTGTGTGTACACCAAGGTCAGAGTTGGTCTGATCCTTGTGGTAGCACCAGGAATCGGGTTATTTCTACTAGGAGAGGAAGTGTCTAGGAATAGAAGCTTAGTTTTAGATCTTAGGGGAGCCGTGGAGTTTTCCAAGTCCTGGTGGTGGGAACGAGACAGACAGGTTGTAGGCCCGCCAGGCCACGAATTGGCCAAGTACTGTCTTCTCTGGAACCACACATCGTTTCTGCGTCGAGGGTAGTCGGTAGTTGTCAGTGTCTGTCCACTTGTGTGTGTGTGTCTGGGACTTGTATGGCTGTGTTGCAGTGAAATTGTGGGCAGGAGGGTGGTGAGCGGTGAGCGGCACTCGGTGGTGGCCGCCGCCACCACTTGCTCACTGGACCTGTGTGGGTCCCTTCTCTCCGCCTTTTCTTTATCTGAGCAGTTTCGATACAAGCGGAGGGTTTATGCCCAGAACCTCATCGATGACAAGCAGTTTTCAAAGCTGCACACAAAGGTAAAGGCGCAGTCTTTGGAGGGGACTCCTCCCCCCCATGACCCCTGCTCCTGTTCTGGCTTGGCCCAGCCTGCTTTCCCGGAAGTGGCTTTCGGGACCTGGTCCGGGGCTGGGTACAGGCTCCGTGCCCATGACTGGTTCAGTGATAGGTTCCGGCTAAATCAGATTTTTGCCGTATTTGAAGCTGGGGGAGAGGGAAGCAAATGAGCGTCCAGTCTGTTGGCTGTGAGGGCAAGAGGTCCAGTGTTTAGTGTTCCCTAGCACAAGGAACACAGAATTAGATATCTCATTAATTCTCTCCCAGAGGAGATTTGCTACCTCATTTCACAGGTGAGGGTTGAGTCACCTGCTGTGACTGGCTGGCCAGATCTGCCAGGTAGACCCTGTGGTCTGGGTATACCTGTACAGTGTCTTTTCTTCTGGGACCTGCTCCCAGGTGGGCCTGACTCCATTTGCCTTTTTTGTTTCGAGGGGGCGCTACACTCCTGTGGGTGTCCAGGGGGCAAGGTGGGTGCCATAGCCCTTTTCCAAGTCCCTCAGCTCCGTGGGCCAATGGGAATTTGCTTGTGGGATACTTCACTGATGGTCCCTGGAGCTTAGGAAAGGGTCTTCGTGACCCTACCTATGGTCCTAGATCCTTGGGCTTCTGTGGCAGACTTTTCTGCTGCTCCAGAGCAGGTGACAGTCAGTGGCCCTGGCTCTATGTTGGGCAGAGACCATGTCAGAGAGGTAACTGTCTCCCTCCACTGGCCCTTGTGTGACCCTGTCACCCTGGGTTCTCTAGATCTTTTCTCAGGGGCCCACAGGACATGAGTGACTTGCTTTTCGGTGAGTCTTGTCTGTGTTTGGGATGTATCTGAACTCCTCACTGCACTGCAGCCCTGTCCTCTTGCTTGCCTGGGGGCCAGCTGTCCCTACCCTCTCCCCCTGTTACCTCCAGGCTAAGGTTCTTCCTAGATGATTCGCAGAGATCCTTCCTCTGGTTTCATCACCCTGACCCCATGATACTGGTTCATGAGACACCCTCTCTTGTCTATGATACATGCTGTTTCTAGATGCCTGGGCTGGGACACCTTGCCCTAGGTGTGTGTGGCATCTAGGCCACCTGACAAGGCTAACGAGGCTTTGTTGGGTGAAAGACTAAGAGGCAAAGTCATGTCATGGGTGCTCCAGGGGTTTATCATGGAGTGTAGGAGGAGCTGGCCAGAGGAGTGAGTCTAGAGTTGTTAGTATTTGGTGCCTGTTGGAATGGACTCAGTGCTCTTTCAGGCTGAGGGAAGGGAGTCCGTTGGAGTCTGTGACCAAACTAAGGTGGCCTGGCTGTGATGGAAGTGGCCAGGCTCAGGCCAACAAACAGCTGTTGTGGGTTTGCAGAGAAAGGCTTTGAAAGCACATGGGTCTAGCCGAGATGGAACTAGCGTTGAGGTAAGAGTATCGGGGTTGAGGATGAGCAAGCCGGATGACAGGTTAGACAGGTCGGGGTTAGGGACAGGTGTCTGCCTTGCAGGTGGTCGGGAGCTTGCTGGAGGAAGGGGGTGATGGTAAGATGACCATGGCTGTGGCACTCAGCTGACTGGGATGGCTGGTGTTCTAGGCCAACCTGAAGAAGTTCATGGACTATGTCCAGCTACACAGCACAGACAAGGTGGCCCGCCTGCTGGACAAGGGGCTGGACCCCAATTTCCATGACCCTGACTCAGGAGGTGAGAAGAGCAGAGAGGGGCTGTGTTTTCTTCTCTTCTCTTTCCTTCCTTCCTTCCTTCCTTCCTTCCTTCCTTCCTTCCTTCCTTCCTTCCTTCCTTCCTTTCTTTGTGGCTGGGACCCTAACTTTCATCTATCTCCAACCCCAGAGTGCCCTCTGAGCCTTGCGGCACAGTTGGACAACGCCACTGACCTCCTGAAGGTTCTTCGCAATGGCGGTGCTCACCTGGACTTCCGAACCCGAGATGGGCTCACAGCCGTCCACTGTGCCACCCGCCAGCGGAATGCAGGGGCATTGACGGTTAGTGAGGGCAGGACCCTGGTCTGGAGGGACTCATGGGCTCAAGCAGAAAGCTGGGCCTGGCATGGATCCTGAGGTGCCTTACCCTCAGACCCTGCTGGACCTGGGGGCTTCACCTGACTACAAGGACAGCCGCGGCCTGACGCCCCTGTACCATAGTGCCCTAGGGGGCGGGGATGCCCTCTGCTGCGAGCTGCTTCTCCATGATCACGCACAGCTGGGGACCACTGATGAAAATGGCTGGCAAGAAATCCATCAGGTGAGTAGGGGGCCTGGGCTGGGTGCAGGCTGTATGCCTCTGTACCTGGGATGCGTCAGTACCTCTCTTCTCCTCAGGCCTGCCGCTTTGGACACGTGCAGCACTTGGAGCACTTGCTCTTCTATGGGGCCAACATGGGTGCCCAGAATGCCTCGGGAAACACAGCCTTGCACATCTGTGCCCTCTACAACCAGGTAACGCCTTGCGTCTCACCCCTCTGTCGGTTCATCTCTACATCGTCTGCGCGTGGTAGAGTGCGACTGCATATGTGTCTGGGCCGGCACGCGGGTGACCGTACACCCCAGCTTGTGCGACACTCCCCATGTGTATGTTCCGTGCCCGATCTGGTTACTGGGTGACCTACTTAAACACATCTGTTCTCTGAACACACGTGTGTCAATGTGTCCATATGTATGCTCTTAGCTAGCTCTCAGATGAGAGCTACCTACGTAGTCCTACCTAGCCTAGGGATGCATGTGTGTGAGGGATTCCTGTGCCTTGCACTCCTGGGCACCCGCCCCAGCCTGGCCCTGCCTCTTCTGCTGCCCAGTGTGATTGTTGTTGCCTCCCAACAGGAGAGCTGTGCTCGTGTCCTGCTTTTCCGTGGTGCCAACAAGGACGTCCGCAATTACAACAGCCAGACAGCCTTCCAGGTACAGGATGTGTGAGGCTGACCCAGGGGGGGTTGCTTGTGTGTCCTATTGACTTTGGACCCAGATTCTTCTTCAGAGGGCAAGAAGGGAGCGCTCACTCTCAGGACTGCCGCCCGAGGTGGAACTGGGAGTGAGTGGGCTAGTGTGGTGCCCAGAATTTGAGGGAGTCTTTGGTGCGGTGGTTGCCTCCACCCTCCTCCTATGGGTAAATGTCACGTGACTCCACGACTCTGGGGAAGGGCCACATGGAGAGGACAGAAAGACGGGTGTGGTGGGCCTGATTCCCCAGAAGCAGGGAGGAGTCCCAGCAGAGGTCCAAGCTGAGAGGGGCGCGTGACCGCTACTCTACCTGACTTGACCCAGGTTATATTTCTGAGCCATTAGTCCACCAGGCTGGTTGGCACTGGATAGGATAGCCAGGTAGTTTTCATCTCTGTGGCCTGAGTTTTTGAGGAGTTGAGGGTATCATAGGAATTTATGGACCATGAAAGCAGCAGGGAAGCAGGGGAGGAGGTGTTGTTTATTACTATTATTACTATTACTATTATTATTATTATTATTATTATTATTATTGGTTTTTTTGAGACAGGGTTTCTCTGTGTATCCCTGGCTGTCCTGGAACTTACTTTGTAGATCAGGCTGGCCTCGAACTCACAGAGATCCACCTGGCTCTGCTTCCCAAGTGCTGGGATTAAAGGCGTGTGCCAGCGCTTCCCGGCCTCTGTTTATTATTCTTAATGGGAGCACAGGGCCCTGAGAATGTCAGAAAGGCAAGCTGCGGTGGTCGTGTCTGGGAGTGTGAGGCAGAGGTTGAAGATGTGGGCACATCTGGAAGTAGATACATCAGGGTCTGTTGGCCAGGTTTGGGGACATGGGTAGGAAGAATGAGGGCCGAAAAGCTGTGGGGCCAGGATTGATAGAGGAGTCGTGGCTGCATGTAGGGGCAGATTAGAAGTTCTGCTAGTGTGTGCAGACCTGTTCATGTTTTAACTCTCAGCCTGGTGTCCCAGAAACACCCTGGACTGAGGCCGACGAGGGCCGCGGGCCACCTCTGGTTACTATATCCTATCTCTTGTTGGTGGCAGTGCTGTGCCCCTAGACACTGACTGCTGTGACTTGAGAGACGGGTGGCTTCTCTCCCAGCAGGACCACCTGGGGTGGGGGGCAAATCTGGGTTGCTGAGCCTCCCTCCATGTCCTCCATGTGTTTGTTGACGTCTCTCTCCCAGGTGGCCATCATTGCAGGGAACTTTGAGCTCGCTGAGGTAATCAAGACCCACAAAGACTCGGATGTCGGTGAGTTCTGCCTACCCATAGATCCTTTCTGAATGGGCTGTGGTGCTCATAAGCAGTGGAGGTGTAACAGGGCCCCCATACCCCAAGACAACTGTCTGCTAGTGATCCTTGCAGACCTGGGGACCGTGATGAACAGAGGCCTGTGTGGACTGAACAGAATTTTTGGTCAGGGCCTAGAGCAGGTCTGGGCTTTAGCCTATGATAGCCCTGGGCACAGCAGTTGACATTTAGATAAGGGCCTGTGCTTTCTGTTAGGTGCTAGGGCTGTGTTTAGCCTCCTGTGGCTTCCCGTGTGACGTGATCCCATGAACATACCTGCGGAGAGAACCAAACACGATGGTGAGGACGAAAGTGAAGTGGGGATAGGATTGTGGGTGTCTCCTTGGCCAGAGGATTGGAGCTCCCAGCAGGTAGTGCGTAAAAGAGACTTGGCATGTGGATGAGCCCTAGGAGGAAGGACCAGGCGCTGCATGTGTAGTTTTAGCTCCAAGACTGGCAGGCAGAAGGGTCCAGCCTATGCCTCTGTGCGTGCATGCGTGGGTGC